GCTTCCATTGTTTCTTACAGTCCCCCATATCCCCATCCAGTCTGAGGTTACTCATTGCTTTAAGTTGTTTTTCCTCTTTAGTCTTTATTATCATGTTAACAGTACTTTTGCTTTGTGTTTCATAACGTTGACCTTTTAAAAATATTTATGTTCATTTTTTGTGTATGAATGTATTGCCTACATGTATGAACATACATGCACCCATGTCATGCAGTGCCTGCAGAGGTCAGAAGAGGGTGTTAGAGCCCCCGAAACTAGAGTTATGGACAGTTGCTAGCCACCATGTGGGTGCTGGGACTCAAACCCAGGTCATCTGCAAGAGCAGCCAGTGCTCTTAACCATTGAATCATCTCTCCAGCCCCCACATTGATCTCTTTTTAAAAGTATATTTTATTATTTTTATTTTGTGTGTGTGAGTGTATTGTCTGCATGTATGTAAGTGAACCTGTGTTGTGCAGTGCCCAGGGAGGTCAGAAAAGCATGTCAGATCCCCTGGAACTGAAGTTACAGATGGTTGTTAGCTGCTATGTGGGTGCTGGAAATTGAACCCAGGTCCTCTGCGAAAGCAGCCAGTGCCCTTAACCACTGAGCCATCCCTCCAATCCCCATTTATCTTTTTTTTAAGATAATAGAATATTTATAACATGGATTTTCTTTTGATGTCTCTTTTGGATTACAAACTTAGTAGGAATTCCACAAAAGATCGTTTTCTTACTAGTTCATCATATGGGAATGCATGTGACACTAGTTTGTTCCAGTATTGATGATGTAAACTTTAATCACTTGACTGACTCAGTGCACTCCAGATTTTTGTAAAGATGTTCTTTCTCCTTTTGTAAATATTATATATCCTTTGCGTGGAGAGGCTTTGAGACTGAAAAGGATCATTGCCTTCATAAAAGTTTTGTGCAAGATTTTGTTTCCATGATTCTTGCCATATTCACTTACAATAATTGCAAGTGCTGGCTTTGCTTATTACCTCATACCTTCCATATTTAGAAGGTGGCACTCAAATGTAAGGAACAACTTCATCTTATCTGAAACTCACTATGTAGACCAAGTTGGCCTTAAACTCACAGAGATCTGCTTGCCTCTGCCTCCCAGGTGCTGGGATTAAAGTTGTATGCCATCATGCCTGGGACATAGCTTCTCATGTATTCAGTTGTCATACTTTGTTACTATGGTTATTTGATGTTTACAGTGTCCCAGATTTAGCTATTTCCTTTTTTAGGATTTCATGTAAATGAGGAGCTGGTAAAATGGCTTCTTTGAGTAAAAAGTGTTCAAAGAGTAAAAGTGCTTGCCATGCAAGCCTGACAACCAGAGTTCTAGAACTCATGTAAAGGCAGAAGGAGAGAACCAGCTCCATAAAGTTGTCTTCTGATCCCCACACAAGAACTCCTCTCACACACAATTAGAAATGAAATTTTCACCATGTGTGGTGGTGCATGTCTTGGGAGGTAGAGGCAGGCAGATCTCTTTGAGGTCAAGGCTAGCCTGGTCTACATAGTGAGTTCCAGGACACCTGGGGCTATAGGGAGACCCTGTCTCAAAAAGAAAAAAAAAGATAGAAAAAAAAGAAATAAAATTTTCTATGTATACTTTTTATTGAATTTTTGTGCATTTCATACAAAACATCTTAATCATCTTTATACCCCCTCCTCATCCAGACCCCCCCATAACCCGCCCCACTGAATTTCATTCATTCTGTCATATATGTTAAGGGCTATTGGATCAAGTTTATGTACCTAGATGTCCCTTAGTACAAATTCATCCACTGAGGTCTAGTAATCCTATCTTGAGTCTCTCTCTTAAAGAAGATCAACTCTCACCCAGCAGTAATCAGCTGCCAATAGTTCAGCTAAGGTTGAGGCCTACTGCCCATTTCCCCTGTTCTGTACTGGGTTTTTGTCTGCTTGAGTTTGCATGGGTCTTATGCATGCTGACACCATTGCTGTAGGTTCATATGAACAAGGCTCCAGAAGCCTATAAGATTCTGTTTCCATATGATCACGCACCTTGTCCTCTGGCTCTTACAGTCTTTCTGCCTCCTCTTCCACAGTGGTCCATGAGCCCTGGGTGAGTGAAGTTTAATATAGGAGTCCTGCCTAGGGACCTACATTCTGAAGACTCTTATTCTGTATGCTTGGCCATTTGTGGCCTTTTGTCTTCATTGCCCTCTGTTGCATGAGAGAGCTTCATTAATGAGAGTTCAGAGATGCAATAATATTCTCTCTACCCCTTGTTCCACTATGTTCCATGAGCCTTAAGTGTACAGGTTTCATTGTAGATGTGTCACTTAGGGTTGGGTATCTCACAGACACCTGTTTTCTGTGTGAGACTAGTTGTAGAACTCTGTAATAATCTCTATTGCAAAAGAAGCTTCTTTGATGAGTAGTGACTAGCATACTAGTCTGTAAATATGCAAATCCATGTTTAGTATATAGTAGGAAATTCCATTTGTCTAGTGATGTGACAGCCTTAGGGTGAAATTTTTTAAAATTTGAATTTCGTTTTTGATTCTTAAAGTTATTTTGTTTTGAGACCAGGTCTAGCTGTGGGCCAGGATAGCCTAGAATATACTTTACATTACAGAATGACCTCAAACTTATGATCCTGCTGTTTTCCCTTCCTAAATGTTGGGGTTACAGGCATGTACTACTACATCAGGACCTACTTCCCTTTGCAAGTCACTAATTTGATAAATATCCCGGAGATATGTACAAGGCACTGTCTCAAAAAAAATCCTGGGGTGGGGCAGCCAAGAGTGAGTATAATCAAAATACATTGTATGCATGTATGACATTCTCCAAGAATAAATAAAAAATAGTATATTAATCCAAAGAGGAAGCTGCAGGTGGTGGTGCATGCCTTTAATCCTAGCACAGAAGATGGAAATGGATCTCTGGGAGTTCTAGGCCAGCCTGGTCTATGTGGTAAGTTCCTAGGCCAGCAAATATTACATCCAGTCTCAAAAAACCCAAAAATCCAAAGAGGGAAAAAAATGAGGGATGGATTCTCTTTATGTTTTCATAAAGAGAATCATGTAATTTTATTGCTAAATTGAATGTATAAAAATATCTTTATTTTAAGGTTGGAGACGAGATAGAGAAAAGAGAGATGATCAAGATGAAGTGTCCAGTGTGAGAAGTGAGGGTGGTACCATCCGAGGTTCCACTAGAGGCAGAGGCAGAGGAAGAGGACGAGGAAGAGGCCGAGGCAGAGGAAACCCTCGATGTATGGCATGAGATTTTTGTTCTGTTAAATTAGATGAACTTTGAAAAAAAAAAAGTGAGCAAATGCTCTTAGTTTTCCACATCCTGTATTATGTTTTTGTTTTACATTTTTATTTGTGTGTGTGTGTGTGTGTGTGTGTGTGTGTGTACGTAAGTGTGCCACGGTGTGCCCATGGAGGTCAGGAGACAACTTGTAGGAATCAGTTCTCTCCTTCTATCATGTTATCATGTGGGTCTCAGGGATTGAACTCAGGTTGTCAGGCTTTGTTGGAGATGACCTTGTCTTCTGAGCCATCTCACTGGCTGTATTGTATGATATTTCAACCTTTTTTGTTTGTTTGATAATAAATACAGTTTTATGTTTGAAGTTCTTCATTTTGAATATTTATTTTTAACCTTTGATCACCTTTCTATCCATTCACATCAAGTGAACTTTGATTATTCATATGGTTATCAAGAACATGGTGAAAGGACTGATCAGCCATTTCCAACAGAGCTTAATACCAGTATGATGTATTACTATGATGATGGCACAGGTGTACAGGTGTATCCTGTGGAAGAAGCACTACTGAAAGAATACATTAAGCGCCAAATGTAAGTTGAAGTCAGATGTAAACATACAAAAGTAAAATCTGTTCCTGTGGTAAAATTTAATGTCTTTGTTGATGAATATCATTATCACATTTTCTAAACTGTAGTGGTAGAAGTTGAAGAATAATTTTTTTTTTCTAGGAAATATTGACAAAATAGCTACCTTTAGAAAAAACTTTTGGTTCGAGCCAGGTGTGGTGGTGCATGCCTTTAATCCCAGCACTTGGGAGGCAGAAGCAGGCTGATCTCTGGGAGATTGAGGCCAGCCTGGTCTACATAGTGAGTTCCAGGCCAGCTGAGGCTACAGGGAGACCCTGTCTCAAAAAGACCAAAGAAAAAAATAACAAAACTTTTGTTATTGTTATTTTGTTTATGTTCATATGTCATTTGCCTAAGATTAGTTAGAATATCATTGTCTAATTAATAAATATGAAAAATATAATAATATAAAACTTACACATATTTGAAACTGAAAAAGTAAAATGTATCTCATTTGTAAATAGATGTTTATATTAAAATTTGTAAATGAGCTGGGTATAATGGTGCATGCCTGTAATCCCAGCCCTGGGGTAGCTGAGGCAGGAGGATTGCTGGAGGTTCAAGGCTATCCTGGGACACAAAATAAACTTGTCTCAGAAAAACAAAATGTTAAAATGACAATAATAAAATTATATAAATGAATATAAATGATCATAGTGCCCAATGTCTTGATTTTTCTTAGCAGTTGACTTCTGAATTCTGTTTTTAAATATCTTTTAAGCTCTTTAAGTTCTTATTTCTTTGTGACACATTAAGGGACACACTAGTTAATATTTTAGTTGAGAATTCTTACTTTAGTTATTTTCAAGATACTGACTTGAATTCAGAAGAATACTACTTTGTTCTCTTTTCTTAAAGCATATAACCCTGGCCTGTTCTTGTGGAATAGGGCATTTTGCATATTTAGGTGGTATGTTTATATAATGGCAAGAAAAATACCTTGCCAAGTGATTCGCCTAACCAGCTAGGTAAAATCTGAATTATTTTTCTATCCTTACTTGATGAAGGGAAATGGGCAATTTTTGAGAAGGCATAGCTTATTTTTATAAGAAAGAAACTGGATCCTCCTCTGTTAGTAGGAAATAATTTCTTTATTAGCATCAGCCAGGCACCTTTGAGGTGCCTTCATGGTGGATTTGATTGGCTTATAGTGCAGAGCAACTTTCTTATTTTGTTCTTGCTTTTTTTGTTACAGTTGATGCAAACACTGAAGAAAAGGGCCTTTTTATGGTCAGAAAGTGCCTGGCATGTGGCTGTCAACTTCATACCATTATTCCTGTCTTTTTTGTAACTTTTGCTGCCAGGTCCCTTCTGAGACCTGACAGTGGAAATGCAACTCCATGTCAGGATAATCGGCCTCCAAAGTGCTCACACAAGTGAGGGAGGAGCAGAGGTACTTCAGTGTTGACAAAATTTCTGGTCATGCAGTGTAGAATCCTGAGCTTCTAAGGTAGGACATGATATGTCCCCTAGGACACTGAGCAAAATGTCAGACATGACATTGGTCATGACTCCTTTGGTTGTCTCAGCAATAGGGTTTTTGGCAACTATCAGTAGAGTATCTTTTAGGGTAGTTGGTTAGCATTCTTTGATCAGTGGAGATCTGTATTTGAGGAGTCATGCGTTCAACTTTGTCATTGCTGTTTCTGTCACAGTACTTAGAGAGGCTGATAGATTAGGGATTAGATTTTGTTTTGTTTTTTGAGGAAAACTTTAAAAAAGTTTTTGTTATACTTGTGAAAAAAATGATATTAAATATGTTTTAGAGTAAGAACCTTGACTATTCTGAATGAATATTCTCAATCACTTTAAATGAGCAAACTTACATGAATTATTTTTTAATTACTTTTTATTTTTATGTGTGTGAGTGTTTTGGCTGCATATATATAAGTGCACCCATGCGTGCAGTGCAGTGCCCACAGAGGCCAGAAGAGGACTTTGGATTCCCCCAGAAGTGGAGTTGCAGATGGTTGTTAGTCTTGATGTGGGTGCGGGGAACCAAACCTGGGTCTTCTGCAAGAGCAGCCACTGTTCTTAACCACTGAGCCATCTCTCTAGCCCCTATAAATTATTTTTTATGTTAGAATATTTAAATTTTTTTGAAATAGGGTCTTCCTGTAGCCCCACTCAATGTATAGAACAGACTGGCCTTGAACTCACAGAGATCCGCCTGCCTCTGCCTCACGAGGCTGGCAGAACATTTAAATTTAAGATTATTTTTCTTTTGAGACAGGGACTCATGTAGCCCAGACTTGCCTGAATCTCCTGATCCTCCTGCCTCAACCTCCCAAGCGCTCCCAAGGATTCTAGGCCTCTCTCACCACACAGGGTTAAATTTTAAAGTCATGATTATTTCTTTTTTGGATAATCTCTTGGCATTCAGATTTACAGATTAGTATATTTGCAACCCATCAAAATTTTTTTAATGTATACTATAGCTAATAGTGATTTTTAAAATTTATTTAGGTGGTTTGTTTTTTACAATGTATTATATTTAAAGGGAAGTTTATTACTGACTTAGATAATGCATCTAAGAACAGTTTTAACTTGTGACTATCAGATGTCTTAGTGTCCCAAATTTTGGAATATCTCCACACATATTCCAAGCCTACCAGGCACTATGATTAGGGCATTTGAGATGCAATATAAATCAGAATGTACATATTTTTCAAAACTTAGATTTTTTTTCTTCAATATTCAAGAGTAGTTGATTTATTACTGTTGCTGAAATGTCAGTAGTTCAGTAATCTCTATGAGAACTTTGTACTTTGATAAATGGTACACAGGAAAAATTTGGATATTTCATGTTTTAAAAATAAGGTAATTTTTTTTTCCTTTGCTTGAAATGTTGCCCTAAACCAGTTTTATTTAGAGATGCCTAGTTCTTCAAAGTTATAATTTGGCCTAAGCAGTTCAAGGTTACCTAGTTACTGAGTTTTACATCCAAAAAATGTGAACTCAGGTGCTTTCTCTTAACTTGTTACTTCCTTGAGTACTTTCTGTGACTGGGAAACAGTGTAGCCTTGCCAAAGTAGACTATACCACATTGGTGCACATTGTGTTTCTTTTTATTCTTTTATACACTTCCCCTAGATCTTGTCTCGCTCTGGCTTTTTAAAATCTTATTTTCATTTTATTTTATGGAGGCTGTAATGTAAATGTTTATTTTCAAATGCTATTTTTAAATGTTCTTTGCTCTCATTTGGGTCTTGTGACTATTAGCTTTTTATCTTTTTTAAAAAAAAAACATTTTATTATTTTTATTTTGTGTGTATGAATGTATTACCTGCATGTATGTAAGTAAACCCGCGTGTTATGCAGTACCCTCGGAGGTCAGAAGTGAGCATCAGATTTCCCTAGATTTGGAGTTACAGATGATTGTTAGCCACCATGTGGGTGCTTGGAATTGAACCCAGGTTCTCTGCAAGAGCTGCCAGTGCTCTTAACTGCTGAGCCATCTCTCCAGCCCCATTAGCTTTATATCTTGAAGTTTATTGCCACTGATCATTCTGGCAGTTCTCCATTTACATGGTTATATGAGTCTGGACTTCTTTCTTTTTTCACTCCACATACTTTATGGTGTCATTGATTTTTCTTACTTAGCCCATTCCCTACCCACACACCCCATACACACACACACACACACACACACACACACACACACACACACACTTTTTCTTTTTTTTTTTTCCTTGAATACTAAGGATCAAACCCAGGGCTTATGCATGCTAGGCATGATTGTGGGTATATACTTGTGACTATGTGTTTGTATTTTTTTAAATTCAAATTTGTGCTGGTTTCTAAGGTTCTAAAATGTTGTATAATGTCAGTACTTTGTCAGTTTAGGAACTGAAACAAACTACTGTACTTGACTTGTGAATCAACAAAAGGCACTCCCAAGTCTACTATTCTTAGTGATTGGAGAAAAGTTGAAAGGCAGTAAGCTGATATGTTTAGTTTTGTTATTTAGTGTTTAAATGAAGCAGGGGGTGGTAGCTTTGTTTATAAAATCTTTCAGTGAGTAAATCATTGAAAACTCCAGGGCTTTGGATGCAGCTCAGTGCTAGAACACTTACTTGGACTCAAGGGCTGGATTCCTTGATTGGATCCCCAACCCCATTAAAAAAATGGACTTTGAAAATAAAATGAATTTTAAATTTTTTATACTTAAGTGAAGTTACTCTCTATATATTTTAAAGTAAATCAATATTTTAAGTGTCCACTTGTGTATAAAAGAAATTGAGTAGTTTCTTTGCTATTGTCTTTTGTGTTGTGTTATACCATCTATATTTTGTCTATACTGTAATATAGTGTAGATGGTGTAAAATATTTTCATAGCAGTTGATGTGTAAGCAGTAGATACATTTATGTCCTGTTGAATTAAGTAGATGAAATTTATGTCTGCTTTATTTCTTTTCTTAGTGAGTACTACTTCAGTATAGAGAATTTGGAAAGAGACTTCTTTCTTCGGAGAAAGATGGATGAACAGGGTTTCTTGCCTATTTCACTGATTGCTGGTTTTCACCGAGTTCAGGCTCTTACCACAAACCTTAATCTCATCTTGGAGGTAAGTATTCATTTAACTAATAGCCTGTGTTTTACTCAGTTTTTCTGGAAACCTGAAACTATTCTAAAAAATTAAAGTGTTAAGAAAAGCAAGCTTCTGGGTGATGTAACTCAGAGCACTTGGCCAGCATGCATGAGGTCCTAGGTTCAATCCCTTGTTGTGGCCAAAAAACAAAAAGAAAAAGAGGCCTGGCAAGATGGCTCAGTGGATAAGGGCACTTACTGCCAAGCGTGATAACCCGAGTTCAATCCCTAGAACTCACATGGTGGAAGGAATTAAAAAAAAAAAAGTCTTGAAATTTGTCCTCTGACCTCTACACATGCATTGTAACATGCACACATGCACGCATGCACACGCGCACACACACACATACCCGACACGGGGACATACACACACATACCCCGACACGGTTTCACTTAGCCTAAACTTGTCTCAAATTTAATATCATGTGGCTGAGACTGGTCTTGAATTCCTGATCCTCCTGCTTTCACCACTAAAGGGCTGGGTTTACAGGTGTGTGCTACCATGCCAGGTAGAAAGGTTAGATTGGAACAGTCCAACACTGGCCTTTCTGCCAGATTTTTTATTAAATCATTTGTCCTGTTTCTGGAAATGCTTTCAGCATTTTTTTTTTGTTTTCCCTATTTCCTATATATATAATAGTCCCTATGTAGCCCATCCCTTTCCTTACACACAGCCCCTGGAAGGACTGATTGATCTTTTTATCTCTGTAGTTTTGTTTTTTCCAGAATATCATATAAATAAATAAATCTTAAGCTTTGTAGCCTGTTTCTAAATTCTTAATTTTTTTTCACTGTGTAGCCCAGGCTGGCCTCAAACTTGGGATCCTCCTGCCTTTGCCTCCCCTGTGCTAGCATTGTAGACTCCACACCCAACTGCTTCTGATGCCTTTCACTTAGCATAGCATTTTGTTGCATGTCTCAGTGCTTTTTCTTTCTTTTTTTTTTTATTTGCTGACTGCTATTCTGTAGTATAAACACATCTCAGTTTATCTACTTACTGATAATATTTAGATTGTGTTTATATTTTGGAATATAGCCTGCAGGTGAATAAAGCCTGTAGGTCTTTATGTCAGACTGTTTTTATTTTTGTTGGGTAAACAGTTAGGATTATGATTGCTAGTGTGTATGGTAAGTTACCCTGGTTCAGTGCTGTTTGCACAGCCAAACTTGATAAATCTGTTTCTTTCCCTTTCATTTAATTTTTCATTTACTGTTTTTTCTCTTCCTAGACCCCAACAAAGTCTCATTTTGTAGCTCTAGCATAGCCTGAACTCACTGTGTAGGCAAGGTTGGCCTTGAACTCATAGCAATCCTGACTCAACTTCCTGAGTGTTGGGATTGAGACACCACAGCCAACTTGCCTTTTTGATTCTTGTCCCATAACTTTCTTGGTATTGGTGTCCTTGCATTAGACCCGGTTGATCCTGGTTCTGTAGCTTATCAGCTGAATAAATTTGTGAAGGTTACTTAGTCTTACCATGTTTTTAAAATTTTTGTTTTGCTTTGCTTTGTTTTGTTTTGCTTTTTGAGACAGCTTCTCTTTAGCCCCAGCTGGTCTGGAACTACATAGACCAGGCTGGATCCACCAGCCTTTGCCTCTCAAATGCTAGAGTTAAAGGTGTGTGCCAACATATCTGTCACTTTTATCTTGAGCCATGAGTTCTGATTTACTGAATTTGTAGCCACTAACCCTTGTGGTCGTTTCTCTTTATCTCTAGGTTGGCACAGATGTACATCTTTTAGCAGTCAAGGATAGATAATATGTAGTTGGTAGTTACTATTTAAAAAACAGTTTGTCGGGGCTGGGGAGATGTCTCTTCGGTTAAGAGCACTGGCTGTTCTTACAAAGGACCCAAGTTCGATTCCCAGCACCCAAATGGTGGCTAACAACCATCCGTAACTCCAGTTTCAGGAGAATCCAGTACTCTCTTCTGATCTCCATGGGCATTGCATGACAGGGTTGCACTTACATACATGCAGGCAATACACTCATAAACAGAAAATAAAAATAATGAATATTTTTTGAAAGTTTATTTATTTTGCATGTGGATAGGCAGGTGCACATAGCCCTGGTATACCTGTCAAGGTCAGAGGACAACTTTCGGGAGCCAGTTCTCTTCTTCCATTGTATGAGCTCCAGAGATTGAACTCAGATCAACAGGCTTGACAGCAAATATCTTTATTCGCTGAAACATCTCACCAGCCCAGTAGTTATTTTTAATAATAACTACCAAGAAAAGGACTCAGATGAACTAGTCAGAAACTCAGATACTCCAAAATATTGAATGTACATTGTAACTTATTGTATTTAAAAAGTCAAGATTTGTTTTTAATAGAAATAATGTCAGCTTTGTCTAGATTTTTACGTCAACTTTATGCATGATATAGTTGTCCTTTAAAATTTTTTTTATTGTTTGAGACAGGGTCTTGCCATGTAGCTCAGGCCAGCCCTGAATTAGTAATCCTCCTCAGCTTCCTTAGTGCTGAGATCACAGGCATTCACCATCATGCCTGGCCCTTGGTGTAGGTATTTTGTTGTGATCTTTTTTAAAAAAGCCTGAATAGTAAATGCTTCGTTTTTTGTGCTTTTTAAATCTTTTAAATTTGAAATTCATCCTCCACTCCCCCACCCTGCTCCTTTATTGGATTGGCTAAGGATAGAACACAGTTTGGGGGTTATATTCCAGCTTTTTTTTTCCATAGGGGAATTTATTCCACAGGATGCAAGATCATGTTATATATTTTTATCATTCAGACTCTGCCCCCATTTCTACCCTCATTTACTACTCTTCTTGCCACCCCACTCCCAACTTTATGTCCTCTATAATTTTTCTCTCTCTCTCTTTTTTTAATATTATTATTATAGGCTGGATGTGGTGGTACACGCCTGTAGTCCCAGCACTTGGGAGGCAGAGGCAGGCGGATCTCTATCAGTTCAAAGCCTGGTCTATACAGTGAGTTCCAGGCCAGCTGGGGCTACAGGGAGACCCTGTTTCAAAAAGACCAAAAGAAAAAAAATATGTTATTATGTGTATGAGTGTATTGCTTGCATGTATGTAAATGCACCATGTTGTACAATGCCCACGGAGGTCAGAAGAGGGTGTTGAATCCCCTGGAACTGGAGTTAGGATGGTTGTTAGCCACCATGTGGGTGCTGGGAACTGAACTGGGTCTTCTACAAGAGTAATCAGTGCTCTTAACTGCTGAGTCATCTCTCTAGCCCTTTTCTCTGTTCTTAATGGCCTATCAAGTCTAATTTGTGTTCCCCAATCTTCTTGGATTGGGGCTGTCCCTTGGTGTCTGTAAATCCAACTAGGAGTCCCACCTTTAAAGAAAACTGACTCTCCCTCTCATAGCAGCTATCAGTTGCCAATAGATCCTCAGCTAGGGCTAGGGCTTCTCATTCATGTTTTTTTTTTTAACATTTATTTTATTCATTTGTGTATGAGCATAAACGCATGCTCAATTCCATGCCAAGTTGCATGTGACAGTCTGAGACCATCTTGGGAGTTGGTTCTCTCCTTCCATTCCTTCCATTATGTGGGTTCTGGGAATTGAACTCCAGTCTTCAGGCTTGGTAACAAGCCTTTATCCACTGAACCCGCCACTTTTATTTTGCTTTTTTTAAAAAAAAGAAATTTATAAACTTTATTATTTATTTATGTGTTGTGTAAGTGCATGCACACACATGCACACTCAATCACATGTTGCCATAACACATATGGAGGTCAGAAAAAACTTGTAAGATTTGGTTTTCTCTCATCACCATGTGGGGCCCAGGGATCAATCAGGTGGTCATGCTTGGCAGCAAGTGCTTTGCCCATTGAGCCATCTCACCAGCCCTGTTGCTTTGTTTTTTCAAAGTTTTTCACTTTGTAGCCCTGTGTCCTCAAACTGGTAATCCTTCTGATTTAGTTTCCCAAGTGCAAGTATGTGCTGCCGTGCCCCTTGTTTTTATTTTTTGAAAGCATATTGGAAGACTCTGCAACAGCTACACATAAAGAACTTGTGAATTTTCCATTCGGCAGGTTTTTCGTTTTAAATTTTCTCTTTTAAGTCAAGGCATAATTTATAAACAAAGGGTTAGTTAGTAGAATTATGATGACAAATTTGTTCCTCTGTGCATACCCATGTAACAGATTAAGATACAGAACAGTTTTCATATACCAGCAGCTCCCTTGTATACCCTCCTAGTCAGAATAACTCCTCTCTCCAAAGGTAATTGCTTTTCAGAGTTTTCTCATCTGTTTTTGATCTTTGCATAAATGGAGATAGGTGGTTTTTTTTAAAAAATATTTTTTACGTGTTTGAGTGTATTAATTGAATGCATGTGAGTGCACCCGTGTCATGCAGTACCCACAGAAGTCAGAAGAGGGTGTTGGATCCCTTGAAACTGGAGTTGTGGACAGTTCACAGCTGCCATGTGGGTGCTGGAAATCAAACTCAGGTCTTCTCCAAGAGCAGCCAGCGCTCTTAATCACTGAGCCATCTCTCCAGTTCCCCGCCCCCAGGTGTTTTTAGTACCTGACTTCTTATGAAATTGATGCATTTAGAATTTGATGATAAAGCTGAATTTTTTTTTAAAGTAGTAGACATAAAACTATTATTAGCCAATTGTGGTGGCACACAACTGTTATTTCAGCTCTTGGAATGCTGACACATGGGGATCCTGAGTTTGGGGACAGCCTTGGCTATGTAGTAAGGCTCCATCTAAAAAAATATGCACCCAGGGCGAGAGATGGCTCAGCGGTTAAGAGCGGTCCTCTGCTCTTGCAGAGGACCCAGGTTCAATTCCCAGCATCTACATGGTGACTACAAACTGTCCTTAACTCCAGTTCCAGGGGAATCCGAAGCCCTCTTCTGACCTCTGAGGCATTGCACGACACGGGTGCACTCATATACATGCAGGCAATACAGTCATACAAATAAAATAAAATAATAAAATATTTTATAAAAAATATGCAACCACTTTATAGAGTTTGTTCTATTATATCAAAGCCAAAAATGATTGGCAGTTTTTCTCCACAAGTTTAATATGAAAAATTTAAAACTCTAGGAAAACTTAGGGAGTTTTTTTTATCTTTTGGATTCTATTATCAGTAACATTGTAAAATCCAGTCATCTTAAAAATAAATTTCAGGTGTTCAGTTCAGTGTAAGTTAGGAAAGTTATATACAAGTATTGTTCCAATCAAGATGTACTTAATTGATTGACTGATGACTGGAAATAAGAATGCCCTATCTAGTCCATTCTGTACATCTTCTCCAACTACCTTTCTGATTATGTTGATAGATTAGTTTTGTCCTTGACATTTATGTAAATAGTTTCTTGCGTTTCTGGACTCTTCATGTATAATTTTTTTTGGAGGGGCTTTAGACAGGGTCTTCCTGTAGCCACAACCAGCCTGGAACTTGCTATGTAGACCAGCCTGGCCTTGATCTCAGAGAGATCCACCTACCTCTGCCTCCTGAGTGCTGGGATTAAAGGTGTGGGTCACCATGCTTGACTTCATTTGTAAAATTAAAAAAAAATTTATATCACAGGCTGGGAAGATAGGTCAGGGGTTAAGAGCATTTGCTGTCCTTGCATAGGACCTGTGTTCAGTTCCCAGCACCCACATGGTGGCTAACAAGAGTTCCAGGGGATCTGACACCCTCTGCTGACCTTTTTAGGCATTGAATGACACAGTGCACTTATATTCATACAGGTAAAACATTCATACACTTAAAAATACATGAATAAATTTATTCTTAAAATCATGTTGCATGATCTGGAATTCTGGGTGTTCTGTTTGCTATTGAGGTGTCATTGAGTCATGGCTTCTAGGACCTTGAGTTGACAAAAGGAAAAATATATATATTCCTAATTGAAGTCCATCATCATAGATTTTTTTCCATCTTTCTCCATGATATAGCAGACTCCCTTCTCAAAAGAATTTGTAAATAAGTTATAAAGTAATGCCCAGTAATGAAAAATATAACTTGAGAAATAAGAACTAGTTTAATGTTAAGGCATATAAATGAAACTTTCCTAAAGTGATACAATAGACTGTTCAAGTAAAATATAGTGAGTTTCAGTCAGACATATTGATATACTTCTGTAAGTGTATTTTGATATACTTCAGGAGGTATGGACAGGAGAATCTTGAATTTGACACTAGCCTGGGCTACAGAATGAGACTTTATCTCATATAAACCATGAGACACTAGAAAGATGGATCAATGGTTAAGAGCAAGCTTTCTGATCTTGCAGAGATCTTGAGTTTGGGTACCAGCACCCACATGGTAGCTCACAACTATTTTTAACTCCAAATTCAGGGTTTCTGATTCCTTTTTCTGACTTCTGAAGGTACCAGATATGTACATGGTGCATATACATGCAGACAATCACTCCTGTATATAAAATAAAAATATTTTTAAATTAAAAAAATGAGTAAATAAAAATAAAATATAGTAAGTTTTAGTTTTCTTAGTTAACATACACATATATGTATATGTGTTGAATCTTTGTATATTTTGTATTTATCATAATTTCTAAGTGATAAGTATTCCGAATTTCCATTAGAACATAAGCCAGTAAAGCTTTAATTTCTCTTTTAATTGTCTTTAATTTTTATTTTCAAGAAGTTTGGGTTTCACTTCATTCTCTCCCTAAGTTACAGTTTCTAGAAGGTAGCATAGGGTAATGACTGAGACACAGTATTTTCTCATACTGGCCAATGGCCTTTTATAAAGTTTTTTTCTCAGAGCCTCAGTTTCATCATCTATAAAATAGGAGTAATTATCTACTTTGTTGTGTATTGGAATCTTGTGCATTGTAAGTACTTATCATTCAATAAGTGATGGTAGTACAAAAAAATGAAATACAATGCCTAAATATTTGAGGATGTGGATCAGTGGCAGAGCACTTGCCTGGCATGCACAATGCCCTGAGTTTGATCTTCAATACCACAAACAAGGGGGCTAAATTTTATTTGGTGACATTATTTTAAATGATAACCAAAGAAATATGAAAAAGAAAAAATTGGTAAGATGACTGAATTGATAGTAAAGTTATTTGCTTCTATTTGATATAATAATCCTTAAATGACTATTCTACTTATAAAAACAGGTCATGGTACAAACTTAAATTAGTGATAAGTAATAATACTGTTATTTTACAGGACCAAATCTTTTTTTTTTTTTCTTTGAGATAGGGTCTTGTCTAGCCTTGACTCGCTGTGTGACCTTCAATTCCTGATCCTCCTCCCTTTACCTCTTGAGTGCTGGCATTATAAGCAGGTATCACAACCCCTGGTTTTTATTGGGTGCTTGCATTCAGCCTGGGGCACTGGACATAGATACTCTACGAACTGAACTATATCCCTAACCTCCTTTAAAAATAGTTTTTTTGACTTATTGTTACCTTATGTGTATGAGTGTTATCCTTGCATGTATGTAAGTGTACCCATGTTCTGCAGTGCCAGCAGAGGACAGAAGAAGGCATTGGATCCCATGAAAATGGAGTTATGGTTGGTTGTTAGTTGCCATGTGGGTGCTGGGATTTGAACCAGGGTCTTCTGCAAGAGCAACCCATGTCTTAACCACTGAGCCATCTCTCCAGCCCCATCCCTTTTTTCCATTGGATTGGGATTCAGGATATCATATAGCCAAGCCTGGCCTCAAACTCGCTATGTAGCTAAGGATGGATGACCTTGAACTTCTCCTTTTTTTACCTACCTCTTTCCTCCACATCCTGAGTGCTGTTTTGTTTAGTTTTGTGAGACAGTGTCTTATTATGTATTAATAGCTCTGGCTGGCCTCAGACTCACTGTGTAGTCAAAACTTGGCACAATCCTCTTGCTTTTGCTGCCTGGGTACTGGGATTACAAGCATGCACCACTATGCCTGGCACATTTTTTTCTATTCTTAACAACTAATTCATGGAGCTGGAGAGAAGGCTCAGTGGTTAAGAGCGCTGACTGCTCTTGCTGAGGACCCTGGTTCGAGTCCCACCACCCACATGGTGGCTAACAACTGTCTATAATTCCAGTTCCAGGGGATCCAACGCCCTCTTCTGACCTCCACGGGCATTGCATCTACCTATGTGCAGGCAGTACACCCAAACACATTAAATAAAAATAAAATATTTTTAAGAAACAGATTTAAAAAAAAACTAATTCATGGGTATTTTTAGAACTATTAACTATATAATATAGTCTGCTGCCTTGAAGTTTTATAATTTTTAGATTAGACATATAAGACATGAAGCTAAAACTTTTTGAATATTACTTCAATAGCTTCAAATTTTTATTGCTAGGCGCTGAAGGATAGCACAGAAGTAGAAATTGTGGATGAGAAAATGAGGAAAAAGATAGAACCAGAAAAATGGCCAATCCCAGGCCCTCCTCCACGACATGTGCCACAAACAGATTTCTCTCAGCTGATTGACTGTCCAGAGTTCATACCAGGCCAAGCCTTTGGCTCACATACAGGTAACTGCTTTTCTTCTAGTGCAAACAGTTTAATAGTGGGCTACTTGATTCATTTTACCTATGTATTTATAACTTAGCTTTTTCAGGAAAATTAAAGATAACTAAATGACTCTTGATGCTTCCAGTTCTACTTATTGTCTCCTAGATAGAGCTAATTCAGTGATGTAGAGTTATATGTAAAGCTCTCTATTTCTTGTTCATGAAGGATATATTTTGTCATGTGTGGACTTTCTACCTCTCCTCTTTTAATTTGTTAAATGGCTATATATTGTACCAGTTTTCCCCTTGTAAGATTGAAATAGTTCAAAATATTTGAACTATATTTGGGATAGGCTTCCTTTACTTTTATTACCAATGTGCTTAACCTTGTCTTGAAAAGATAACCCATATTCTAAACTAGAATTGGGGTTTTCTTTAATCTGGTTGTTTTGAATTTCCAAAAACTGAATTAGTGTTAAGAATTTTTTACCTGGTTCATTTTAAAGATAATTGCTCTTGGGAAAAATATGTGTGCTTAAACTTTTTTCAGTCAGGGTGATGATCTACTGATGCTCTTGGATGTCATATGATCGGAATATACAGTGGAATAGGTGACTCACTGAAATACCATTGTAAATATGAGAACAAATCGTGCTGCAAAAATGAAAGTGACCATACTGTCTTCTGTGCAAGAATGTCTACTCCCAACCCCTTGTGGACAGGGTTGGGCCAGCACTGCAGTGGAGATAACCACCTTTACGATAATGATGTGAGACAGACCAGAGGACTGGTATTGTTATTGTAGGAGCTTCTCATTTCTATGTCATTAGCTTAGGCTGCATGGGCTGGCTACTTCTTTCATGGTGGGAAAGTTAATTGTTATCATTGGGGAAATATTGCAAGATTCTATCTTTTGTTTTCTAGGCATATATACTTTACCCAGATCAATAAAACAGAAAAAGAAGATTGAGTAGCATTTCTAAAATTGTTAGGTCCTTTGCTATTTGACTTGCTCTTTAAAATAGTATACTTTGCATAACTCATATGTTGTCATATTTCACATGTACTATAAGATTTATTAATGTGAATACTTAAGAGATAAAAGAAATTTAAGTTAAATAAATAAGGGCATTTTTCCTTTACTCTTCAAAAATGTTTTTATTAAGGATTTTCTTTTTCATTTTATTAAGTGTGTGTGTGTGTGTGTGTGTGATGTGTGTGTGTGTGTGATGTGTGTGTGTGTGTTTGTGTGTGTGTGCTGGCACATGCATGCCATGGTATGCATGTGGAGGTGAGAGGACAACTTCCAGGAGCCTATTCTCTCCTTTTGCAGTGGTATTTGGGCATTGAACTCAAGCCATCAGATTTGTTCAGCAAGTACCTTTGCTTCTGGAGCCATCCTGTAAGCTTCAAATTTGTGTTTCATAGTATAAGCCTGCTTAGGGCCCCTCAAATCATGGACCAAAATAAATCCTTCCTGTCTTCCGTTGCTTCTTGTTAGGAATTGCTGACAGCAATGAGAAAAGTAGAAATAGTAGAAATAGAATTGTACCAAAGAGTGGAGCCATTGCTGTGAGAAACCTGACCGTGTGGTTTATAGACCTTTAGAACTGATTGTCGGAGGGATTGTAAAAGATTTCTAAGCTATAGATTAGAGAATGCTGTAAGCAGAACTCAGTGGGCCATTGTGGTTGGATTATGGAAGACCAGCATGCTAATGAAAAGGCAGACCATAAGGATAGTGGTCAGGATCTCTCAGAGAGGAGCAAAAACTTTTTAGGGGAGCTGGGCTAATGTCCATTTGTATTTTATTCTGGTGAAGAATCTGGCTGTATTCTGTCCATTCCTGAAAATGTGAGGATGCTTGAATTCATAAGTAATGGACTAATTTGTAATTTGTTAAGCATTCAGGCTGTAGTGTTTACTACTACTGGTTTTTTTTTTTTAAATCCATTATGGAAAGAACAAGAAGATGTGAAAAATGAGCAGTTTGAGAATGAAAGGAGTGTGCACTTAGGAGGTGCACACAAAGCCATCTTTAATTGTTAAAGAGATTAGATTCAAAAAGAGAAACCTCACATTTTTCACTGAGATAATAGGACAGTTGGCCTGAGGGCAAAACCCATGAAGGGCTCCAACTTGAGAAAATGGAAATTCATTTGAAAAGATAGAGACTGAACTGAGACAGTGGCTGATGAGTTTCCCTGGTATCAAAACAGTCTCCTAGGAAAAGTGTTTTCCCTGGTTTGGCAGACAAGTTGTACAAAGGCCATTTACAGCAGTGGTAGGACCGGGCCAGACTACATACCAAGCTAGTAGCAGACCTTGGCAACAGCATCGACTTGGTGCTGGTTTTGCAGGCATGCAAAATACAAGATTTATAGGGTCATGAATGCTTGGACCAAGGTTCCAGAAAACACTGAGGCCAGGCAGTGTGTGGCCAAGGAGGCCCTGAGAGGTCTTTTCTTGAAGCTCTGAAGGTGAAGGTTAAGTTGTAATGGAGACCTCCAGGCTGTTAGAGATGCCAGAACCCTGGGACATCCACCAAGGAAAACTGCAAGAGTAGAACCATCCCAAGAGAAAGGCTTTGTGTGCTGCAGCTGACAAAATTGGAGGTGTAGGGCTACCTACAATCATTGGGTCCCAGATGATACTACCACACTCCCTAGGTATTGACATGGAGCTTCAAGGTGTAGTATTTTCCCTGCAGGATCTTATGTCTTGTTTTGAGCTGGGGTGATGGTGGTTGTTGTTTTGCCTGTTTGTTTTTTCCCTTACTATACCCCATTCCTCTTTTGGAATGGAAGTGCTTACTCTGTGCCTTGTACATTGGAAATATGTAACTTATTTTTTGATTTTTATGGGGACTCACAGCTAAGAGTTTGTCTTACATCTCAGAAGAGACTTTGGATTCTTGAACAATTTTGGTACCCCTTAAAGATTATGGGAACTTTTGAAGACAGATTATACATTTTGCTTTATGAGCCTGTGGGGTCAGAGATGAAATATAATGCTTGAAAAATGATTTGTTTGAGTTTCAAGTTTGATGGTTAGGTTAATCTTCATTGTCAACTTGACAATTTTAGAACCATCTTGAGGATAGACCTCTGGATATGTTTGTGAGAGCATTTCCAGAGAGGTTGATCTGAGGAGGGAAGACCCACTCTCAATATGGGTTTGGTGCTTAGACTAATAAAAGGAGGGGATGGAACAGGAAAGCATGATAAGTACCATCATTCATCTGTCTGTGCTTCCTGACTGCAGAAGCAGTGTGACCAGCCACCTAATGCTCCCATCACCATGCCTTCCCTGCTATGATGGACTGTACCCCTTCAAACTGTAAGCTGAGATAGATCCTTCCTCCCTTAAGTTGCTTCTTGTCAGGTATTTTGTTACAGTGACAGGAAAAGTAACTAATAATATACTTTTCATCAATAAAACACTGATGATGGATAGTTTCAAATTTTTTAAAGCAAAATATTTTCTTTGGTTTTATTATACACTGATTCTTTTAAACTCCATGCAATCTAATTATTCTATCACAAAGGTATTTTAATTATAATCTCAAATGACTAATAGAATTTATTACTATTTTTAAATCACAGGACTGTGTTTTACAAACTGAAAGTTTCAGATATTTTTATCTGCTTTGGTTTTTTTGAGACAGTGTCTCACTATGGAGCCCCAGCTGGCTTGGAACTCACTGTGTAGATGAGGCTGGCCTTAAACTCAGTGATGTGTGTGCCACCACACCCAGCCTTATCTCATACTTTTTATCTGCCATCTGTGGTTAATGACTTGAGCCTGTGTTTTAAAAGTTAAAGAAAAGTGATTTTAATTTTTTGTTTTCTGTTTATTTTTAAAAGATTAATAATTACACAAGATTTATTTATTCTATAAACTTGGGATCCAAGATGATATTTTTAGCCAGCTTATGCATAATTCATTGGGAAAAAAACATAGAAAAAACAAGATAGCTAAGATCAATCAAGTTCATGATGCCTTTCATTAATCATTTATGCATTATTAACAAAACTGAAAAAATAAAATCAAGTTTTGTACAATTTTATGGTTTAAAAATTTTGTATTATATGTGTATGAATGTTTTGCCTGCATGTATGTAAGTGTATCTATGTCCTGCAATGCCCATGGAGGCCAGAAAATGGCATTGGAGCCCCAGGAACTGGAGTTATGGATGGTTGTTAGCCACCATGTTGGTGATGGGAATCAAACCTGGGCCCTCTATAAGAGCAGCCAGTGCTCTTAACCCCTGAGCCATCTCTCCAGCCCCTACTTTTATGTTTTTAACATACATCAAGATGCATTCAAATCATGTCTACACAGACACATCAGTGTATATTAATATCACAAATGTGAAGTTTTTCAGATTATATAAGAACAAATAGTAAATGAAGAAATAAACAAGGATAGAATTCATATTAGGTCATAGGATTGAATATATATATACCACCTTTTCTTACGAATCCCCTCATTTCTGACATTGGTAATCCACTTGTAGATTACTTGGAGAAGTAGTATATCACTAAGTATTTGAAGAAGAAAGAAAAGATGGGAAGTATAGATGGTCCTTTTATGTACCTATGAGTGAAACTTTTATCTATACCCTTTAATCTCAAATTAGAACACCCTAACCCTTGATTGTACTTTCCAAGCCATTTGTACCATAAAAATATTTTAACACAATTGATCCTTTTCATCACAGAAATTTAAAAATCTACTTTTTCCTCTTTGGAGGTTGAATTGTATAACATGGGTTGGCATTCACTGAACAGAAGACTTTAATGCACCACAAAAGGTTGATTATGAGACTGGTAAGATGACTTTTGGAATGCAGTGTTTGATGTGCTGTGGGTATGGTACTATGCTGTCAACTCATACTGTATGAGAAGATGTAATAGTGACTGAATAGGCTGGGGGATTTCCTTTGAAGACTATGTGTTGAGGTGTTCTTCAAAGTACCACATACAAGCTGAATAATCTTTTTAAAGAAATCCTTATTACTTAGAGATGTGATCCTCACAAGGTAGGTAAAAAAAACATACTAAATCAAAACATACAGTGATTTGTCTTTGGAGAGTCAAGCTGATGTTTTTCATTTAATAAAAATCAACAAAGGAAAAAAAATCAACAAAGGTAAATTTTCTGTATTCTTATAAATAATAAAAGATATTTTGTGTCTAAATTTCATTTTTTAACTATTAATTTTTTATTTTATGTGTATGAGTGTTTTGCCTGCAGGTATGTAAGTTCATTCATGTGTGCAATGCCCATGGAGATCATCAGATCATCTGGAACTGTAGTTATAGGTGGTTGTTAACTGCTGTGTGGGTGCTGGGAACTGAACTTGGGTCCTCTTCAAGAATAGCTAATGCTCTTAACTGCTGAGCCATCTCTCTAGCTGCTAAGTAATTTTTAAATTTTATTTTTATTTTTTATGTATATGAATGTTTTGCCTGCATGTATGTAAGTGTACCTGTGTGTGCAATGCCCACAGAGGCCAGAAGAGGTGTCAGATCCCCTGGAACTGGACTTAAGGGTGATTGTTAGCTGCCGTGTCAGTGCTGGTACTCTGCAAGAGCAGCCAGTGCATTTTTAACTGCTGAGCCCTCTCTCTAGCCACCCTAAATAATTTTTGTCTATAAAAATTAGTTTAATGTTAGAAACCTCAAATCTTATTTAAACTCTTAGAAGATAATTGTAACTGTGTACTTTGAAATACTTTTGTTATAAAAGAAATTAGGAGTAAAGAAGACCTTATAGGGCATGTGTATAAGTTTAAACATAGAGTGAACACCTTCAAAGACTCATTCTAATACTGTTAATTTTTTTTATCTTAGCCAAATCTTTCATGTTATTTTATTTCTAAGCACTAAGTTATTAGGTGGATTTTAGATAGAGTGGACACCTTCAAAGTCTCATTCTAATACTGTTAAATTTTTTTGTCTTAGCCAAATCTTTCATGTTTTCATATTTTATTTCTAAGCACCAAGTTATTAGGTGGATTTTAGAAGGTTAAACCTTCTGCATTAAAATAGTAACCACTGGGGCTGGAGAGTTGGTTCAGCAGTTAAGAGCATTTGCTGCTCTTGCATTCACACACACACACACACACACACACACACACACACACATATAAAAATAAAAGTAAACCTTAAAAAAAAAAAACATGACTGGGCATGGTGGTGGGTACCTTTAATTTTAGCAGAGGCAAATCTCTGAGTTCCAGGCCATCCTGGTCTACATAGTGAGACCCCATCTCAAAAAACAACCAACCAACTAACAAAAAAATACAAACCCCAAACCAAAAATTAAAAACCTAATACTCATTCCCCTACCATGTTCCAGTTGCTATTCAGATGTTTACACCCGAACTACATGTAGTTATTAAGTTTTGTAGTAGTTGCATAAGGAAGAAAGTCAATCCTCAAACATAGTTAACAAGATAGTGTTTTTTTGTGTGCTTTTAAAACTTAGGTCATTATATGAACATAGCTATATCAGAGTATTAGGAAAACAGTTCTCTGCTGTTGGTGTTTTATTCTTTTCCTAGTTGCCTCTGTTACTCTGAAAAAATGTAAACCCTATTTCATTTGTACTATTATGTGTGAATTGGTGATAAATGTGCTCTCTATGAAGAAGGTTTTGGGTAACAGCATCCAGGAAGTATATATGAACTCTAAAATTTTTAGTGTCTTAAAACTATAAAATATTTAATTTCAGTAGTATTTTCATAAATGTTTTTATTTACTATAGCCGCATCTTTGTTACTCTTTTGGGATAAAAGGTATCAGGTCATTTTCAGTATGCTCTTTAAGCATATTTCAAGACTCACCTCATTTCCAGTGCTCAGTAGCTCTGTATAACTAGTGCTTACATTATTGAATGAACTTTTTGTGTGTTTTGGGGCATCAAATCCAAAGGCTTTATATTAGCTCTATCCCAGAAGCATATGCCTACTGTATTGAGTAGCATAGCTCTAGAGATTTTCCTATTATAAATCGATTTGCCTCTTTTAAAAATAATATACTAATATTGTGATTGAATCCATGGGCCAATGGGAAAGATACTAAGTCCATCTAATTCTAGCATGTAGATGGAAATAACCTTGCAACATTCTTCCTACCTTGTCCTACAATGTGCCTTTCAACTTTTTGCATATAAAATTCACCTTCTTAATTCCTTTTCTGATGCAGGGTCTCCCTGTTCCAGCTAGCCTGGAACTTGCTATGTAGACCAATCTACTCTCTGTCTCACAGAGATCTGCCTACCTTTGCCTCTGGAGTGCCGATACTAAAGACATGCACCATCATGCCTGGCTTTTCCTAATGTCTTTTAATAAATTAACTTAGAAGGTAATAATGTTTAGAATTTTAGAGTATACACTGGTAAAAATAAATTTTGAGTTTGTTTGAGGTTCACAACAGGTTATCTTCTGACCCATGAATGAAATTATAACTTAAAAACACTTAAATATTTCTTTTGAAAAAGCTTTTATTAAAAATTAGTATTTTTTTATGTGTATGAGTGTTTTACCTGGATATATGTAAGTGCACTACATGCATGTAGTGCCTGCAGAGACCAGAAGAGGGTCTTGGGTTCCCTGGAACTGGAGTTATGGACAGTTGTTAGCTGCTACATGGTGCTGGAAACTGAACCCAAGTCCTCTGCAAGAGCAGCCAGTGTTCTTAACTGCCAAGCTGTCTCTCCAGCCCCCATTTCTTAATTTTTGAAAAAGCAATTTATAGTGAAAACAGTTTGAGTTTTATGGATTATATATATTTATTTTTACTTAAACTGACAAATAGGGTGAAGAACAAAGGCCTTTTAAATTCTGATAGTTTAAAAATGTTATTGCTAGAGCTATGTGCTTTAATGTGACACAGTGGGTACACTGCATTTGGTGCAGGAAATGTGGACAGTAGGAGTAACACCTACTTTAGATCTTATTCAGACCATTTCTGTTTAGACTACTTATGGCTTAATAATAGTTAAGATTCTATGATTTAATAATGTACATGTTTTGGGCTGAACCTGGGCAGTGGACCCGGGGTCAATTCCCAGCACCCACCTGGCAGCTAACAATTATCTGTAACTTCAGTTCCAGGGTATCCAGTGCCCTCTTCTGACCTCCACAGGCATTGCATGCATGGGTATACTTACATACATGAAATAAAAATACACATAAAATAAAAATAAATAAATGATGTACAATCTTAAGATTTCACAGTTAATTTGATTCACAAATATTTTTGCCATCTTAGTGAGTCACACTGATACTCTTTGAGAAGTTGGCACAAGTGTGGTATCCTATGTAAGTGTTGTGACATTCATTTATTATTCAATAGCTTTCCTTTGGAATATTTGAATAAATTTTCTAGGCAGTTCATGTTTGAAAATGACTGGAAAGGTTTTTGAAATTTATTTATGTTTTTTGTCCAAGCACTATTAAGGCAAAAATGAAATGCATTTTATAGATAAGAAGAACCATTATTTTAACTGCAGAACTGATTTAAAATTTTAGAGTCTGCCCCAAATTCTCCAAGAATTGGAAGTCCACTGAGCCCCCCCAAAAATACTGAAACTAATATTCTTCAAGCAATGTCTAGAGGTTTGTCTACCAGCTTACCTGACTTGGACTCAGAACCATGGATAGAAGTGAAAAAGAGGCATCGCCCATCCCCAGTGAAGTTAAAGGCAAGTTGTTACAAACGAAATGAAGCGTGTACCTTGGATAGGGTATAAATGTTAGTGAGTTTCTTTGTCACATATATAAATTTGGAAAATTTTTCTATTTTATGTGTGCAAGTGTTTTGCCAGCATCTATGTAATTGCACCACATGTAGCCAAAAGAGGGCATCAGATCCCCTGAAACTGGCGTTACAGAGGGTTGTTAGCTGCCATGTGGGTACTGAGAGCTGAACCCCAGTCCTCTGAAAGAGTAGCTAGCTAATGCTCTTAACCACTGAACCATATCTCCAGCTCCCTGGACAAGTTTTTAATGTGATAAAAATTGGAATTGTTGGCCTTCACTAGAAACTTAGTTACTTTTTGTGAAAAGTAAATTATATTGTCTCTGTTTTAAGATTTAGTCTTTCATTTTTTAACATTATTTGAGAATACTTTGACTTGACCTTTTCATTTATGACTAATTTTTTCTTTTTTCCTTTTATGACTAGTTTAAATTTTAATAATATTTCAATCTTTATAAGGTTGAAATGAAATGAAATGAAAGGGCCAGAAGAAGCTTTCTTGCTCCAATACTGCCATGCATTTTTTTTAATTAATTTTTTTTTTGAGACAGGGTTTCACTGTAGCCCCAGCTGCTCTAGAACTTGCTATGTAAACCAGGCTGACCTCAGTCTCATAGAGATCCTCTTGCCTCTGCTGGGATTAGAGGTGTGTGCCACCACAACTGACCTATTTAATTTTATTAATTTAAAATTTTTTCCCTGCATATTTTCCTTATTAGACTTTTTGAGACAGAGTTTCCCTATAGGCCCAGCTGGCCTGGGATTCAACAGAGGTCTGCCTGCCTCTGCTTCCCAAGTGCTGGGATTAAAGGTGTGTGCCACCATGTCCGGCTTTGTATTTTTTAATGTATATTTTTTATTGTTTTTGTGTATCTCATACAATAAAACTTAATCATATTTCGACCCCCTCCCCATCCACACACCCCCACCAGATTTCATGCAGTCTGTCATGTATGTTAAGATTGATCCAGTCATTTGTACCCAGATGCTCCTTGATTTAAGTTCATCCACTGGAGTTTAGTCAGCCTATCTAGAGTCACTCACTTAAAGGAGATCACCTCTTCTCTCACCCAACAGTAATCAGTTGCCAGTAGTTCCTTGGCAAAGGTTGGACCTGCTGCCCATTTCCCCAGTTCTCTGCTGGGGTTTTGTCTGACTGAGTCAACATGGGTCTTGTGTATGTTGTCACCATTGCTGCAAGTTCATATGAGCAAATTCCAAGAGGCCTGAAAGTCTGTTTCCTTATCTTGTGCCAACAATGGCTCTTAGAATCTTTTTGATCCCCCTTCTGCAATGGTCTCTGAGCTATGGGTGGGACACCCTGTGCTTTGGACTGCTGATAAATACAGAACATAATATAAAAAATTTTGTTACTTTGAACTAAATTAGTAATGAGAACAAGTAACACTAGGGAAATTTAAATAAGATTGGTAGGTTTATATCAATATATATTGTGTGATATTATATAATGATTTTGTGAAATGTTTATATTGGGGGAAACTGGATAAAGGATACATGAGATTTTTTACAACTGTATGTGATTTACCTCAAAATAAAAAGTTCACCAGAATTTGAAACAAGTGCCACTTGGATGACTCGAACATTGACGGTAAGCTCTGTAGGGAAAAAATAACTAAAAACACTGGGCCTATGGGGCTGGAGAGATGGCTCAGCAGCTAAGAGCACTGGCTGCTCTTAGAGCAGAGGACCTTGGTTTGGTTCCCAGTACCCACAGGGCAGCTAATAGCCACCTATAACTTCAGTTCAGGGCTGAAGTTATTAATTAATTAGTTAATTAATTAATTATTTTACTGGGCCTACATGTAGGAACAATAAAGTATGAAGTAAGTTTTTATGTAGTTTTTAAAAAAGGAAAAAAAAAAAAAAAAGGTTGTTTTGTTTTTTGGTCTTTTTGAGACAGGGTCTCCCTGTAGCTCCAGCTACCTGGAACTCACAGAGGATCCTCCTGCCTCTGCCTCCCAAGTGCTGGGATTAAAGGCGTGCGCCACCACACCTGGTGCCGAAAAAAAGGAGGTTTTTAAATAAAATATCACGTTTTTTTCAGGAATCAATATCTGTACCTGAAGATACATCAAATCAACTAAATCTTCCAGAAGAACAAGAACAAGAAGAACTTGATTTTTTATTTGATGAAGAGATGGAACAGATAGAAAGACAGAAAAACACATTTACTGATTGGTCTGATAATGATTCAGATTATGAAATTGATGACCAGGATTTAAATAAGATTTTGATTGTAACTCAGACACCACCTTATATGAGAAAGCATCCTGGAGGCGACCGAGCAGGCACCCACACGTCACGGACAAAAATCACATCAGAACTTGCTAAAGTGATCAATGATGGTTTATATTACTATGAACAGGATCTGTGGATGGAAGATGAAAACACATACACAGCCATAAAGGTAACAATTTCTGGCCAACATTTTTCTTCTGGTTATTTTGATTGTATGTTATTGCTTATTTTCTTACTGTAGGCTTTATTTCATGAAATTTTGAGTATAAATAAATACCTAATTTGAAATTTTCCTAGAAATATATTTGACAGTCACAATCTGAGAAATAATTTTAAATGACCATGTAATGAATACTATCAGTACATAAAAAATAAAATATTTACTGAATAAAACCCTTGATTTTTTTCATATGAAAATAATGAATGAGAAGGCACTTTCTCATGAAGGAATTAGAAGGAGAAATTGTTATGGACAGGCCTGCTTGACCTACTCATTTCCTACCTGGCTGTCACCCAGCTTATATGCACTAGTGGCTTTAGAGAACTGGCTATCTTTCTTATCCTAGTCTTATATTACAGTCTTGGACTGTGCTATAGACATGATTATGGGCAAAGCAAAGAAGGTTAAACTGATTGAATGTCTTTCTCACCCAGTCATTACTATGGTTCTAGAGATACTATTTGAAACCTTGCTTTAATTTTTATGGCTTGCATTTTGCCAGACTCTGGATTCCACTCTAATAATTGAGCTAATGTAGAAGAGAGAACCAGAATAGTTCTTCATATTTCTTTAATTTAAATTATGATGGTGCAGTTAGGCCCGAAAGGGATCTTTTTCTGCTGTTAAACTTTTCAAAGAGACTCCAAAAGTTAAATATTTGTTTCAGTGATGGGATAATGAGGGAAAATTATATGTCAAATAGGAAAGTGGTCTTGCTCCAAAATAGTTAACAGCTGTAGAAAGAAAAGCTGGTCAGCTAATGGTTGAACAGAAGGACCTGCCTGTCCATGGGCTTAGAGTCAACAAGAGGTGTGTTTTCTTTCTTGGCTCCTTATGTCCTCTTGGAATTTCCATTATCTCTTTTGTCTTTTGCCTTTTGCCTTCTCTAGCCACTGACTTATTGGAGAACCTACCCCAGGCTATATCTTGTCAAATGACTTAGATCCCAGACAATTCTCTGCCTATCCTCTTGCTATGGGAAAGGAAGTATGTTTTTATAAAATTTAGAATAGAATTGTCTTCATAAACATTTTTATTTCATTTATTTATTGTGTGTGAGTACATGTATACACATGTGTGTACACACATGTGCCACAGTGTGGAGGTCAGACAACAAATTGAGGGAGTCGGTGCTCTTCACCACATAAGGCCTAGGGATCAAACTCAGTTCCTCAGGCTTGGCAAGAAGAACCTTTACCAGTTATGGCCTTCTGTGTGCATCGCACTCTGATGTGCATGGAAGTCTCACTGGTGAGAGTTGGGGGATCCATTAGTCTTCTCTCTACTCCTTATTCTACCAAGTTTTGGAGAATAAGAGACTGTAGCATATAGGATGGGACTCCTATATGGAACCTCACCCACCCACGTCTCAGAGACCATTGCGGAAGAGGAGGCGGAAGGATTGTAAGAGTCAGGGCTGGTTCATGAACACAGGGAGGTGGAGGCCTCCGGGCCACTGGAGTCTTGCTTATGTGAACCTGAGGCAGTGGTGGTGTCAAGCATGGGACCCATGTCAGCTCAGTTAAACAAAGGCCAAAGAGGTGGTGAGAAATAGGTGGCGGGCCAGCACTAGATTGATAACTATTTGAGTCTGCTGCTGGGTGGAGGAGAGTATGACTTACATACAACCACTGAATAGACTGACTAGACTCCAGTGGTCACATTTACACTGGACACTTGGGCATAAACACCTGAATGAATAGGAATCAGTAGGTATGGCAGAGTGCATAGGGTTCATTTTGGTGGGGGGCTAGGGGGAGGCATGGATGGAGGAGGGGATCTGGATTTGAGTGAGAAATATATGAAATTTAAAACGTTCAATAAAAAAGTGAAAAAAAATTCATTCTCACCTTGAAAAAAACTTTATCTGCTGAGCCTGCCCTATAAATATTATTTGTGATATTTGGCTCTAGAAGTTATATCTATCTGAAATTATTTTGTAACAAATATAAATACATTCTACTAATTGCAGGGCCTGGTGGCACAGGGCTGTATAATCTCAGCTACTTGAGAAGGCCAGGAGTATTGCACATTCAAGGCTAGCTTGGCCAATTTAGTAAAACCCTGTCTCAAAAAGAAAAGGACTAGAGATCTGCCACAGTGATAGATCACAGGACTAGTATGTGGGAGACCCTAGGTTCACCCTCAACTAATAGACTAAAATCCAATAATGAATATATTCTGTTCTTTTCTGTCTGCCTCACTTTATAATTCACCATAGCATTAATTACCACCTACCATTCTGTATATTTTGCTTTTTTTTGTTAAGCACATGAAAGTAAGAGCTATGAGGTTAGCACTTTCATCTATTTTTAGAAAATGTATATGAATATTTTGCCTGCATGTAAGTGTACAGTGTGAGTACAGTGCCCATAGAGACTAGAAGAGGGTGTTGGATCCCCAGGAGCTGGAGTTACGAATGGTTGTTAGCCACCATATAGGTTCTGGGAATCAAACCTAGGCCCTCTACAAGAGCAGCCAGTGCTCCCAACTTCTGAGCCATTTCTCTGGCCCCTCATCTGTTTTTTAAAAATGCTATCTATAGTGCCAAATAGTTTTTGGCACAAAGTGTTGCTCCATTCATATTTGTTAAAATGATGATGAGTTTTGGATCAAATATCATTCACTAATCACAGGAACCTATCTACTATGTATAGTATTGGTTCTGTAGGTAGATGTTTTCAGAGCTCCAAACAACAAACTTCCAAGCCAGCTTGAGAAATATTTGTAGGTTATTATTTATTTCTTTTAAAAACTAAATGGGTGATAATAGTTCACAGCTGTGTGTTGAGTTATTGAGGCAGGTGCTGACCTTATCAATTAAATTTTAATTGGCAGAAAATGTTAGCTATATGGCTAAGAATTAAAAGATTTATTTGCAGATGTGTCTTTATTTTGACCTGATTCTTCTCTATTTCCATGGCTTAATGTACTCTCCTTGGTTCTAATTCTGTGCTGAACATGTGATTTCTGTTAGACTTGTACTTTTCCTGTGGGTCACCTATTTAACATGTTCATTGAGTGCCTACTGTGTTCTAGAAATTACTAGTCCCTAAGGCATAGAGTAAAAAGATAAGAGGATCTGTAACTTGCAGATAATTGGGGGACAGACATTAAAATAAACTCACAGACTGGTATGGTGACATATGCCATTAGTTTCAGCACTCAGAAGGCAGAGGCAGGAGGATTTCTGAGTTCCAGGCCAGCCTGGCTATATAGTGAGATTCTGTCTCAAAAAGAAATATGGGGCTGGTGAGGTGGCTCAGCAGTTAAGAAAACTGGTTGTTCTTGCAGAAAAAAAAAGTTTTTAAAAAAAAGTAAAAAAATAAACCTACAATAATTACTCTCAAATAATACTAATAATAAGTGTTCAAAAAGAATAAACAGGTTGCTATTAGATTAGGTAGTCAGAGAAGACTTCTGAGAGTCAAGTTACAGTGAAATCAGAAAGCTAAGTAGGAATTAAACATGCAAAGAATAGGAAAAAGTATTCCAGGAAGAAGGGGCAGTAAAGTGTCAAAGATCTGAAATGTGGGGGAAAAATGGCATATTTGAAAAGTCAGTTTGTCCATAGTTTGTCTAAGAAGGGAATTATGGTTGTGTAGGGAAAGTCAGATCAGTTTAGAATTTGTGAATTATGTTAAATAGTGTATAATTTATCAAGTTCAAGTACAGATTTACAGAGGCACTGTGACATTTTATTTTTAAAAGATCACTCTGCTCTTGTTTCCTGTGCCTGCTGAAAGATGTAGAGCTTAGCTTCCCTTCCTCTTCCAGCTACCTCTGCCACCATTCCTCCCTGCCATAATGGACTGTAATTCCCCTGGAACCGTAAGCTCAAATAAATTCTTCCTTCTATAAATTGCTTGGGTCAGTGTTTCTATCACAGCAACAGAAAACTGACTAACATAAAACGTCTACATCTAAGGTGCATGGAATATAGAACAGGGGTAATAAAGATGATACTAATGAATCTCTCATTTCTCATTAATGAAAATCTCTTATGGAACAGAAGGACAGGAACACAAAAGGTTACAAATGGCCAAAGCATAGAGATTAAGAGTCTTCAGATTGCTGGTCTATGAACAGGACTCCTATGTTAAACTTCACCCACCCAGGGATGAAGGACCATTGTGAAAGAGTGGCGGAAAGATTGTAAGAAATAGGGAGGAGGTGCACAACCATATGAAAACAGTCCTACAAGCTCCTGGAGCCCTGCTCATATGATTCTATGACTGTGGTGTCACCATACAAAAGTCCCATGTAAACTCAAGCAGACAAAAACCTAGCATAGATCTAGGGAAATGAACAGCAGATCCCAATCTTAGCTGGGGAAACATTGGCAGCTGATTACTGCTGGGTGAGGAAGAGCTGATCTTCCTAAAACAAGAGACTCTAGATAGGTTGACTAGACCTCAGTAGATAGACTTGCACAGGGGAACATCTGGGGAGACTGACATGGCACATTCGGCCTTAATATGGATGGCAGAGTCTATGGGTTTCAGTGGGGAGACTGTGGGAGTGTGCCAGTGGGGATGGGGGTATAAAGATGATTAAGATTCTTTGAGATTCTGTATAAAATGCACAAAAAGTCAATAAAAACAAATTAAAAAAAAAAAAAAAGATCACTCTGGTCTCTTTGGCAGAAAATAGGTTATATGGGGACAAAAGTGGCCGGAAGAATTCCTGTCAGGAAGCTGTTAACAGACTGTCAAGATGGAGACTGGAGTTTACATTAAGCTGGTGGCACAGGAAGTAGGGAAATGAGAACTGCATCTGAACACTGGTGGATAAGAGAGAAGAATCAGGTGTGTCAGAAACTGCACAGGTTGATTAGATAAGAATGGAAAGCATGTCAGCCTGACAGGGCAGTTTTAGTGATCCTTTTTGATCTCTATGAAAGGCATGTTGGTGGATGTGAAGAAGGTAGGCTTTCTGTTTCTTACATA